CAGCTGTGTGCAGATCAAAAATGGATTATATAACGAGTGCGTGAGAGAGTATGACTGTGCAGGGTTTAAAGCGTGGAAGTACTGACCTTACTTTGAGTTTGATTCCTTAAAATGTGACAAAAACATTAGCGTCCGCTGTTCACTGCGTGAGAAGAAAACTTCTTTTTACAGTGAAAAACCCCTAAACTTCTGAGCAAGCACCGAGTGTCACGGGAATATAAAATTCACAGAGAAACTCCTCGATCCTGCCAATGGCCGCTGCAACACACCTCCACCAGGGCATACCTCCACCTGCCCTACCCCTGCTAAACTGGTGAAAATAGAGCAACAGGATTGCTGAGTCTTTGATTTTATTTATTTAGCTACCCGATCTTTACTGGAAACCTGATCTGTACCACGCATGCCCGAATCTTACATCACTTCCTGCCATTGCCAACAACAGTTAATATATTTGAATGACATGGTTAGTGCCCAGTTAGCTCCTAGCATTTCTCGACAGCTCTACCTCCTTTTCGATTCCCTGGGACATTAAACAATGGATATCTCTATATACAAACAAATTCACGCTTTTTTCCTAAATGGAGAACTTCATTATCACAATTCCAATCAATCCTCTCCACACAGACAAGCATAAACACACTTGACTATCACTACATGATTTGTAATGACGCAAGTTCAGTTTACTCATTCGCTCAGTCAGCAAGTTTGTAAGTAGCAAAGTTGTTTTTCAAGCCTGAAACTTATTTTCTCCTCCACTGGTTCATTTTTCTCTTTCTTAGTTCTTAAGGAAATCCTGCACACTATGCTGTGATAGTCTTCAGCTCTTTGGGAGTCAACTTGTGCACCTTCCTGCCAAACTGTATGAAACATTCTTATGAAAATAGCTGAATAGATGGATGGGACTGGAACAAAGTGAAAAACCTTCTAATGTCCAAAGAAAAAACTGAAAAACCTTTAGAAAGCCTAGAAATATCACTCAAGAGCACTTTAAAAATTACAAAAATGCTGTTTGGAAGATGACAATTATGAAGTGAGAGGAGGCTCAAGAGTTTTGCACAGCACTGTGTGACTGTATGTGTAGTTGCTTGGCATCAAAACTACACGAGTTACAAGGAGTGGAACATCAGGCTCTGATTTGACTGATTTGTTTGCAGTGCAGCTGTTAACAGAACGAGAACTACAAGTTTGTAATAATTTTATGATTTGGCAGATTCTCCCTTTACATTGGCTTTATGCTGGATAAGAGCTCCTAAGCAGCCACGATTGGCCGTGCAATCAGTTACGTACCACTTTAACCCATGATCACACCCACATCAAGTGCAGCATTCGATTTTAGGGGGTTTTTTTGGCTTTACAAACTGCAGTTCTTGGTTAGTTCACGCTGCAGTTCGACTTTTAACTTTATTTGCAATAGTGAAACCAAAGCTGTAGGACTCATGAACCTCATAAAGAGGCACAAACTGGCATTCGTAGCAGAGTGTCTGTTGTGCTACAGCCAGGCTGACAGATGGTTTATTTCATATTCTTCGCTTTAACTTCAAGAAATACCACACATATATATTGCACATACAGCAGAGGAAAAACAGGGTTTATGCACACAGCGCTACTGCTCACTTTAGCATGAGTAAAAGGAATGCACCCCTGCTCCAGGAATCATCGCTGACTTATCACTGAAGAATCTTCAGAGTGACAGAATGCTGACAGAAGTCGTCACAGTACTTGGCAGGTTAAACTTTTCATAATACAGGTAAGGGTTGGAAATCTGCCAAATCCCACTTTAACTGTGATGACACTGACGTCTAATGATGATTTGAGATCTATGATCTGATATGCCTCCACCAATCTCCACCCATCTCCACCTATCCCATCCTATCCTGGGCATGAACAAAGGCAAGGACTCACATAAACAGAGCTGTCCTCACAGACATTTCTGTCCAGCTGCACCAGGATCGCCTTCTGAACAGCAGCCTTCATCAGAGCCAAGGTAAGATGAGCCGCA